GGTAGAGCGTGCCCATGCAACTCTCAAAGCATTATTAATAAAACAAAAAGGGGGAGTAGGAGCCACCCTATATCCCAATAGTCCTAAACATCAATTGGCTTTAGTTACTTATATTTTTAATTTTTTGATTCTGGATTTGGATGGCCATTCTGCTGCCGAATGCCACGCTGTTGGCGCAGGCCCCTGCAAAGATTGGGTAATGTGGAAGGATGTTTTAACAAAATGATGGATGGGCCTGCATCCTGTCTTATGACGGACGCGAGGAGCGGTTTGTGTTTTTCCGCAGGATTCTGACGGACCGGTGTGGGTGCCAGAACGTTTGACGCGAGTGATAAGAAAGCCAGAGCAAGATGAACCTGTGGACATGGTGGATGCTGACCAGCCTGATGTTCATTCAGGTACCGAGAGGAGACAGCCAAAATCTCCAGCTAAAACTGCACCATAAAAGGGGTGCAGCAAATATTGACTCGCTGTCTAGGGCCTTGGAAATGGCCCCCAGAATGGACTGCTGTCAAAGTACTGTGACTCCTAGAAGAGTAGCACCTGACCTTGCTGTGGCCAATTTATTTCCTACCTGTTCAAATTGTGCCTTTGTGGGGTATAACTATACATATGGTAACCTTGTTCAATCTGTTTCTGCTCAGCCTTGGAATGTCTGGGTACTTTGCAGTAGTAGGGGTGGGTGTTCAGATAAATCAGCTTTTGCATTTATTGATAAGGTAGTGATAAGAAATTGTAATTATAGTAGTAATAGTTCTAGAATATGGGAAGAAAATGTTAAAGTTAATTGCAGTCGTGATGTTATCTATAATGCTATTTATGTATGTGTAAAAGCTCCATTTATGTTTATTGTTTCCATGAGTGCTAATGTTTCCCTTTTGAATTGCTCTGTAGTTAAGTGAGCCCTTAACCAGTGTTGGAATGGCTCTGGCACTGCGGTGCTGGTACACACTCCACAACTTATTTCCATCATATGGGGACCTCCTGTGTGCTTAGTCTACCTGGAATGTGTGTCACTCCCTCTATTGTCACCAATGGTTCCCGAGTATTGAATTTGTCCAGAGAGTTATCCGCTATGCTATCTCCTAATGGAAGCTGGTCCATTCGATTTGCTAATTTGACTTAGGAACTAAGATCCCAAATTATAGCCACAAATAGCACCAAAGTAGAGATTGCCACGGAATAGCAATGGACAAATTTTATACTAAAGGATCTTTCTTTTGCACACCAACGGGCCGGTAGAGTAGCCCTGGGCCTTATCTTATTAATTATCATTCTTTGGGGTCTGTGGATGCTTCATCCTTGAGCACAGCATCAGCAGCAGTAACAGCAGCTGCTAGTGCAAGCTGTGCTTGCCCTTCACAACAGAGAATCCCCAGAAGTCTGGCTAGGCATGCTGGACTGGTAGCCAGAGACGGGTAAGTATCCGATATGGCTTCACCAACCTAAGACAGGCACCACGTTCCTAGCCACGTGGTTAGCCCATGACAGGTAAGGGGAGCCTAAACTCGGAACACCTAAGACATGCACGGTCCCTTGCTTAATAAAACAAGAAGGGGGAGCTGTTGGGGGCACTGACCATTTCCTGCCCTGTGATTGGCCCTTTGCCCTGATTGGTGTGCCTTTGTTATCTTTAAGCTGATTGGACAAGTTTGACAGTTGAGCGGGGGCTTGGCTGGGGAGAGGCTGGAGCGTAAGGGAGTATAACGGTCATAACGGTCATAATGGTGATAACGGATACAATGGAAGATCGGAACAAAGCGCCTTGGAGACTCTCTCAAGTGTCGGGTGATTTCTTCCATGGGACGGGAGGACCCCCGATATAGAACCACTTGAATTATACTGATTCATCTTGCTTTAATATTCAAGTATTTCATCATTAAGAAAAAAATATTTACTATAATTTCCTGATGTGTAGTATCTGTTGGGTTTAATATATTTTCTTCTGTTTCTAGTTTTTAACTTTCTACTATTTTATATCAAGTATGCATCCAGTTAACTTCTGGGATCTAAGAAAATGATCATTCTTCTACTTACCTATTACTTTGGAAAAACTCAGTTTGAAGTTTTTATTAATACAAACAGAACAGAATTCATGCTGTTTGTATGTATAGGCGATAACCACTCTTCCCTTCCCCACTTGTTCCCTTTCCATTCCGCTTCTGCCCTCATGAGTTTTTGAAAAGACATAATTTTAAATTTATTTTATATTCACAGACATTTTACCAGTAACTGTAATATCCAATAAGTAGTAAGAGTACATGACAATTGACTTTTGCATCATTCTTGCGTTCATGACCATACCTACTTGTTGACTAATTTTCTAGTATATTGCTCTATTAACAATATTTTATTGAGATCTTTTCATTTGTTTATAAATATCACTTCTTATTCAATATCTACCCAACTTCATTTACATAAGTCTAGAATAGAATGATTCTATGGGGTTCCAGCACAGTAGCCTAGTGGCTAAGTACTTGCCTTGCATGCTCCAGGATCCCATGTGGGATCTGGCTTGCATCCTGGCTACTTCACTTTTCTTCCAACTCCTTGCTTGTGGCCTGGAAAAGCAATAGAGGATGGCTAAAGCATTGGGATCCTACACACAAATGGAGGTCTGGAAGAAGCTCCTGGCTTGGCTCCTGGCTTCTGGCTACAGACCAGCTCATTTCTGGCTGTTGTGGCCACTCAGGGAGTGAAACAGTAGATGGAAGATCTTTCTCTCTGTGTCTCCTCTGTCTACATCTGAATTTACAAAAAAAATTAATCTTTAAAATAATTCTACTAAAATGATTTATAAGCTCATAGTGTCTCCCAGTTACAAATTATGAAGTCTTGGACAAGGTTCTTATACTTTGTTAGGGTAAGATAATATGACTAATAACCATATGTTGATGAGTTAAGATTAAGACACAGAATGGTGAAGTTCAAAATTGTGCAATTAATAATTACTGAAAATTGTTTTAGCTTGTTTATAATGATTTATTGATTGGTTAATAGGCCTTTACTCTATAAGACATAAGGGTCAAATAAAACTTTTGTTTTATTTCAGGCTCAACGTATCAACGTATAGGTAAGAATGGAAAAAATAATAGTAAGAAACAATCAATTGAAATAGGTAATCAAAAGAGTAAAACATTTCATTCACTATAATTATTGCTTATTATCACTTGTGTACTAGTTTGATGGGAATGTCTTCTAAAAACATTCCAAATTGTATACTTTGAATTCTATAGGTTTCTCATAGATTTCTTATATGATATAAGCCTGAAATCAAAATACTAAGATGGTTGGTTCTTGTGAATATGATGAGAAAGAATTAGTATAATGAATCCCCTATAACATGTGATAGTTCACTCTTAATTATCAACATTGCTTGCCTGGTAGAACTTTGTCTTTGTTGTCACATAGCTGATTCTTTTGTCTTCTTACATTCTCTTTCCTTTATGTCTTTCTGTAAGTCAAAATATATCTGTCAAAATACATAAGTCAAAATATATCAGTCAAAATATATATGATAAGCACATCCATCATAGGGGATTAAGTCATATCTTTATAATCCAACCTAACTATTCATACTTGCAATTAGTCTAGTTTCTAATAAGATAATCTCCAAAGATACCAGAGGAAAAAAATTAAATATATTATTTTTGAGGGATACACCACAGCTCACACCAACTTTTACTTATAACGATTGCAATAGCATGTATGTACATCAGAAAAATTGCAAAAAATAAACACATCTATGCAAAAACAATAAAATCATAAAACCAAAATCGACATTCATACGATGCTTCCTTTGTGAATCTTTCAATATTAACCTCTCTTAATTATAAATAAGATTAAGTCATATCCATCAGCTAGTTGGAGCATGGATTGAACAGTATGGATGATATTTAAAAGAAATATGCTGCAACACACCTGTTAGTAATTCGATTTGGATTTGATGTGTTTTCAACTGCTGAATGAATGTTGGTATTCAGTAGCAGAAACACAGAAGGACATTTCAGAAACGCCCTTTCAAAAAGAAGTTTGTTGACTGAACAGAGTAGAAACCAAGACTCCACTATATGATGCCTATAAATACTCACTTCATGAATAAAGTTATATATACTCTAAGATTTGAGAGTGACTGGCTGGAAAAAGTTACATCAATAATATGGAAAAGAGAAATGAGTAAGAGTAACTATTCTCAGATCAGGCAAAACAGTCTTGTAACCAAAAATTGTAAGAACAGACAGACAGACATCTATTATGATGAAAGGACAGAATTAGCAAAAGATAAAACAATAAAATATATACATGTCAATGCCAGCCTGCTCAGATATATACAGAAAATAATATCTAATCTCAACAGATAGACTCTAACTCAGTGATAGAGTGCAACTCCAACATCTCTTTCTTAGTAAAGAACAGATCATTCAAACAGAAGTTCACCAAATCTACATTGGAGTTGAGACATACTGTTGAGCAAATGAATCCAACAGACATTTTTGGAACATTTCACCAAAAAATTACAGAACACACAATTTTCACATAAGTAGATGATTTTTTTCCATGTAGACCATGCATTAGTCCACACATCAAGTCTCAGTAATTAAAAAAAGTGAAAATATAGCATGTGTCTTCATGTGCTACAACAGAATGAAACAGGGTATCAAGAATTAGAAGGGAATTAGAGCATTTAAATATGCATGGGAGCTCAACAATGTGCTAGGGAGTGATCATTAGGTCATCAAAGAAATTTAAAAAGAAATTTAAAAAATTGTTAAAATTAATGAAAATGAATGACATTGTATAACAGGAAAAAATGACAGATAGAATAAAGGAGAATTAGGGAGAATTTTTAGCATTAATATGTTATAAGAGAAATCTTTCAAGTAAATGAACTAATAAACGTCTTAAGACTTAAACAAGTGGGAGCAACCAAACACTTTATTTCTTACCAGAAACTAAAACAAAAGACTAAAACAAAGACTAAAACTAAAACAAAGACTAAAATGTCCTTTGACATTTACATGAATTTTATGTCTCATTTTCCAGAGAATCAGCAGAGTGAAACTGGTAAGACTTTGTGATGCTTTTTTTTTTCTCACAAAATATTTCTTCATTTATTTTATGGCCGTCTTGAAAGGATTCATGTGAGCATGTTAAAGGTCTCAGCCAGATTCATTAAGATACTGTCACCTGAGCACTTCATATTTTCATATTTTCGCAGTAATAGTATCAAAATCTGTTATGCAAAGGAACTTTGAAATTTTTACTGTAATTGTGCTCACCATGAATCTAAAACTTATTTCTCCAGTAAAATTTTATACATTTTAGTCAATTTCTTTATGCTATCCGTCTGTCACACTTCAGGGTCTAGAAAAAGAATTTACACTGTTTCAATGACATTTCAAAATTTACATATGATAGTATATCGTATTTATCATTCTGATTACATGTAATTACAATGTACATAATATGCTCTAGCTACATGCATCTTGACCATCATATTTGCATGAATATCCATTTAATGTTTTAGAAAAACTTCAGCATGAAAAAGGTAGGATTTCTAAGGCTTGATTCTCATTGATTATTTCTGTTTATTTTATGATCATCTGTTGACAGATTCTCCAAATTTACATTCCTGTCTCTGCTTTCTGCTTGGGACTTTGTCCCTTCTCTCCCATGGGAGACCTGAAGGAAGCTTTTAGTTCTCAACATTGGACCACCCAGCTCTGGCTGTTGTGGTCCTTTGGGGAGTGAACCAGTAAATAGGTTGCACATTTCTCTTCCCTTGCTGTCTCTCTGCAGCTCTATCAGGTGTACAAATATAAATCCTTTGAAAATTTTTCAAAAGTGCAGTCAATAAATGCAAAATTGGCAAATGGATTTGCACCAAGATATGAAGCTTTTGCATTTGGTTTAGCTGAAAGGTTACACATTCAGATTGACTTTTTTCATTTTTCTTTTCATCATCCACTCCTCAGCTCTAGGAAACAACTATTGGCAAGACTTATTTCTTTAGTGATTATTTTAAAGTTAAATTACATAGAGAGAAGAAGATTGAGACAAATGGAGCTAGAAAATAGAGAGAGAATACTCCAAATCACGGAATCTCTCCCTAACTACTTGTAAGGACTGGGGCTGGGCGATGCTGGAATCATAAGTTTGAGATGGCATCCAGGATTCTGGTTGGGATGGCATGGGCACAGGGACTTGATTTGTTTTCCACTGTTCTCCCAAGTACATTAGCAGAGAGCTAAATCTGAAGTTGAACAGCCAGGACCTGATCCACCACCCTACATAAGATTTTTAATATTTCACTTGTGAAAACAAACAACTTTTGTGATACTCAACATAACATATTCCACTTAGCATTTCATATACTGATTTTGTCTTGACATTTACATGAGTTTTCCATTTTATTTTTTAGAAGAATTACGGATTGAAATTGGTAAGTTCCTCTGACAAGATTTTTTCTCACATAATATTTCTTCATTTATTTTATGGCCCTTCTTGTCAGGATTCATGTGTGTATATAAAAAGACTCAGTCAGATTCACTAAGATACTGTCATAGGGACACTTTGTATTTTCATTTTTGCAGTAAGAGTATAAATAATCTACTATGCAAAGGAAGTTTGAAACTGGCATTGTAATTGTGCTCACCATGTAATCTAACATTTATTCCTTCAATTTAACATTGACTCCTTCTTCAGCCTCTTTCCTTTTCCCTCTCTGTCATCCCTCAGCATCAAGAAACTGAATTTATGCTGTGTTTTAATGACAATGACATTTCAAAATTTACATCTGACAGTATATCGTATTTATCATTCTGATTACATGTAATTACAATGTACATAATATGCTCTAGCTACATGCATCTTGACCATCATATTTGCATGAATATCCATTTAATGTTTTAGAAAAACTTCAGCATGAAAAAGGTAGGATTTCTAAGGCTTGATTCTCATTGATTATTTCTGTTTATTTTATGATCATCTGTTGACAGGTTCTTCAAATTTACATTCCTGTCTCTGCTTTCTGCTTGGGACTTTGTCCCTTCTCTCCCATGGGAGACCTGAAGGAAGCTTTTAGTTCTCAACACTGGACCACCCAGCTCTGGCTGTTGCGGTCCTTTGGGGAGTGAACCAGTAAATGGGTTGCACATTTCTCTTCCCTTGCTGTCTCTCTGCAGCTCATTCAAGAATAGAAATATAAATTCTTTGAAAAATCTTTGAAGTGCAGTCAATAAATGCAAAATTGACCAAGATATGAAGCTTTTGCACTTCAAGTACAAAACTCAGCAAGCAGTAAAGGAAACTGAGAGGATGGCAGAAATAGTTGCAAACTATGCAATTGATGAAGGATGAACATCCAGGATCTGTAAAGAGCCCAAGAAACTGAGCAACAGTGGAGCAAACACTCTAGTTATTAAAAGAGCAAAGAAGATCAACAGCCTTTTTCAAAGGATTAAATTAGTATGGTCCACAGACTCATGAAATGTTGTTGAAGACAATGTTGCATCAACAAAGTGCAAACAAATCCACAATGAGTTTTCACCTCATCCAATTGGGAATGGCAATTATACAAAAAAAAAAAAAACCAAAAAACAGCTATATTTTTTATGGACTCTTGTTAGCAAGGGGGTGTGGAAGAAGGTATACTACTCCACTTTCGATGGCAATGTAAACCTATACAACCGTTATAGAAACCATAACACATTTTCACCATATACATGAAAGTAGTGCTGTGATATGATTCAGCCATATCACTCCTGGAAATATCACAAATAAATGAAGTAAGCATAGGAAACACCTGTGCCTTCTTGACTATAGCAGCATAAAATGATGGCTTTAAAAATTGTTAAAATGAAAATCAATATTACTATCTAAGTTAGCCAGTCTCTAAAGGATGAATATCACATATTTTGTCCAATACATGGTCGTCAATGGCCATCAATGCGGAATACAAAAAATGTATACGAATGAAACTGAAATTTTATGATATGATTGTTGCTTTAGACTTCATTTACACTTCTTTGTATTGTGCTCTTCAAGCATCACACTTGTTGAATATTATGGTTAGTCTTGAATTATGCCTGTGGTTATGGACTGGATTACAGTTGTATCTGCCAAAAATAAGAGGCCTTAGAAGGAAATTTTCTGTTTTACATAGTTACTGTGATAAACTTTTCATTTGGTTTAGCTGAAATATTGTGCATTCAGATAGACTTTTTTTCATTTTTCTTTTCATCATCCACTCCTCAGCTCCAGTAATCAACTACTGGCAAGACTTATTTCTTTAATGATTATTTTAAAGTCAAATTACACATAGAAAAAATGTGAGAGAAAGAGAAATGGAGTTGGAATCAGAGAGATTGATTTAGAGAGACATAGAGAGACAGAACACTTCAAATCAATGAATCTCTCCCTAAATACATGTTATAAATGGGACTGACCCATTCTGGTATCAGAAGTCTGGGATGCCATCCAGGATTCTGGCAGGGGTGCATGGAGACAAGGAATTGGGCTATTTTCTATTGTTCTCCCAAGTAGATTAACTGAGAGCTAAGTCTGAAATTGAATAGCCAGAACCTAAGCCACCATCCTACATAAGATTTTTAATATTTCACATGTAAAAAAAAAATAAAACTTTTGTTATTCAGAACAAAAGTTACTACATTTATATTTAGTAATTTATAATCTGATTATGTTGATAAGGTATGTTGACATTAACATGAGTTCGGCATTTTGGAATTTTTTGATTTATATGTCAGTTTTTATGTTTTTTTATATAGTGTTAGATTGGTTTTTTTTTTAATATTTTTTGTCTCAGTCACATGATCTCCACTTCTGTGTTATGATTGCACTGTGTTGTTCAAGCACTTATTCCTCTTCATTTGGCTTCTTACACATTTCTTACTTAGTTATCTTCATTTTTGCTTCTTAAGCTTTTCTTATATGAAATTTCATTCTTATCCTCTCACCTGACATGCCTTCATCCCCTTTGTTTCCTGTGCTACATTCTAATAGGCTTCTGTCTTCCACTTGTGTCTTATAGCATTGTTACTAATTCCTGAGATGAAAAGGATTACATCTAGATTAAGGTAGTTGCTTCCACTCAACCAAAATTTTCTTTATTTGCATTGTGTAAAATACATAATCTGTAGAAAGTGTTCATTTTTCCTAAGATATTGTCTTATTCTTAACATAACTTTCTATATTTATTGCAGTTGAAACACTTTATAAGCTAACAGTAAGTGTAGCCTTGACATATTATACTCCAATCAATTGCACATATTTTCAAGTAACACAAAGTATTAAATACTTTCACATGATTTTATCTGGTAATTTTGCCTTTCCAATAATAACCATTGCTTTTTTATTCTGTCCACTACTTTACCAGCAGTTCTCTCATTAATTTAAATAAATTTTATTGAAAAGCTACATCTGAAAATCGACTTTTTCTTGGATATTTCTATATATTTAATGTCAAATTATAAAAATTAGATAAGTCATGTGAAATATTTGTTGAAAACATGTATTATGGTAAAAGAATTTATAGATGTCAAATCTATTACTCCAAATTAAATTGATGTTTTTATTCAGTGTTATAAGATTTATGAATCACACTTTTATTTAACTCTCATATCTTTGCATATTAGATAAATTTATTCTAATAGAAGTTTCCTTTGGAAATATTTAGAGTTTTGTTTCAGTGCTTAGTGAACCAATATGGTCTCTACAAATATATAGATATACAATTTATATTGCTTATTCCATGTAAGATTAACAAAATGTACCTCATGAATGCATGTTTGTATATTTTATTTCAGATATGAGAAAGACTCAGTACAAGCTTTGTAAGTAATTATTATCAGAACCCTCATTCCTATACCTATAGTGGGTTTAGTCCTTATCAAAGAGCTACAGCAATATTAGAATGGATGGTGACATAGTCTCTCTCAGATAGAAATATGCTGAATTCATGATCAGTGAGTCATTTTTCTCTCTCATACTGTTCCATTCTGCTGTGTCTTGTCTATTGACCCCTATCTAAAATCAATAATAATTAATTAGGATGGAGCAATGAAAGAAAATGTTCCTAAATGGCAATGAAATACTTTGCGAATTATCTTTCTAAATTTAAATAAACTGTCCCCTACCCCAAAATACAATCTTCAAGTGTTTCAAAATTTGAGAGTGGGAAGCTTTATTAGCTTTTAATTACCTTATTGTTTAAATATTGAAATAAACTTCTCCTTTAAGAATACATCTAAATGTATAAAATAAAAATTATGAAATCATACAACTTCCATATATCCCATACTCATGTTCCCTTATTAGAATCTTATTATGGGATGATACATTATCACTTTTAATAAACCACAACCACATCACTATTGTTAAGATTTCTTATTTGTGTTTGTGGAAATCAGTGACTTCCACACAGTTCAATTAATTCTTTTAGAATTAAAAGATGTTTATTTTAATGCAAAAAATGTTCAAAATCCACACATGGATTTTTCATGATATACACTTTGGGTGAAATGTTTCAAGTCCCTTCATGTGACCAGCTTCATGATTTTCCCTTTCATTTTGCTTTGCAGAATTTGACTATGATGTTCTTGGTATGGGTTTCTTCATAATTTTTTTTAATTTTTGAATTATTGGTACAATTTTGTATGCACTGGGATTCCCCCCGAACTCCCACCCCCTGACAGATTTCCCCCATTTTGCTGCAATGGTATATTCCTTCGTAAAGAACCATGACTCCATCAGTCTGTTATTTAAGTGTACCCCATATTGCTGGTACAGATAATGTCAGACAGTCCAGCACCAACACATTCCCACTATTCATCTCATCCCCTAGTAGTCACTGTTTTCTGTCCATACTGATATTTTTCTTGTTGGTTTTGTTGCTTTAGCTTTCACATCTGCAATAGTTGTATAGCTTTATTTCTGTATCTGACTTATTTCATTTGGCATAGTGACATCCAGTTCCATCTATTTTGCTGCAAATGATAAGATTTCATTCTGTGATTGAACAATATTTCATTATTTTTTTTGTGTGTGTGTATGTGTGCAATCACATGTTTTCACTACTCATTCACCTGATAATGGACTTTTTGGTTGATTCTGTATCTGTTGTTATAAATAGTTATCGCAAATACTATTAAATATCATAATAAACCAGTGGAGCACATACCTCCTTTCTTACATAAGGTTAACAGTAAATATGTCACAGGCCCGGAGGCGTGACCTAGCAGCTTAAGTCGTTGCCTTGCACGTGCAGGGATCCCATATGGGCGCCGGTTCTAATCCCAATGGCCCTGCTTCTCATCCAGTTCCCTGCTTGTAGCCTGGGAAAGCAGTCAAGGACGGCCCAAAGCCTTGGGACCCTGCACCATGTGGGATACCTGAAAGAAATTCCTGGATCCTGGCTTCGGATCGGCATAGCATCAACCTTTGCGCTCACTTGGGGAGTGAATCATCAGATGGAAGATCTTCCTCTCTGTCTCTCCTCCTTTCTGTATATCTGACTTTCCAATAAAAATAAAATAAATCTTAAAAAAAAACAGTAAATATGTCAGAAACATAAAAAGCTCACTACCACCACCAGCAACAACAACAACAAAACAATTCAATTGATAAGTGGGTAATAGACCTCAACATAGAATTACAAAAAAAGTAAAAATGATCAAAATGTGTGAAAAGATTTTTAGCATCATTAGCTATTAGGGTGTTGAAGATCAAAATCATAATGAGATATAAAATAGTTGTCAAAAACACCAAAAAAGAATGTAATAATAACTGACGTGCTGAGTAGAAAAAAGAGCTCACATTGTTGATGGGGGTGTAAATTAGGTAAACCACTATCAGAAACAGAATAAATATTTCTTTAAAAACTAGAATGAGAGCTGCTAAATGATTCACTAATTCTTCTCCTGGCTAAATATCCAACAGACGCAAAATCATTGATTCTATGTTCTTACCTCTCTTCTTTACATTTTTAATCTTATCTTTATTTCATGATATCAGCATTCCATGGTTACACACAGATCAAGTTTTATTTTTTAATTTGCATGCGTTTCTTCTACTTGATAATTTTCATCATTATATCTTTGAAATTTAAAATACAAATGATAGAGGCAACAAAATAAAAGGCACAGAAGGTATAGAGGAGAAAAAGAGAAAATATGGGGTGACATCAGAAGGGACAAAATACAGAGGGAAAAAATAATGATGTCCTATCCTCTTCTCCTGCAGACTGGAGGAAAGCTGCATTATATGCTGGTAAGTGACATGGATTCTACAAATGATCTATTATTAAAGATGTTATGTGTTGGCATATTCAATGTAAAAACATAATAAAAGAAAGAAACTCAACACATACCTCTCAAAAATAATACAATACTACAAATTTTAAGCAGTAGATGTTCTGGCCAAAAGAATAAAGTTACTACTTGGGACATCTGAATTTCATACTGGAGAGCTGATTTCGTCCCAAACTCTTCTGCTTCCAATCCAGCTTCCAATTTAGGCAGTAATTAGCAGGCTGTAACATGCAGTGTAAGGATATGAAAGAATATTTTCTTCAGTTGCTTTTAGTGTTAACTAAACCAGGAAATTATGACCAGATAATTTTGTTTTTCACATGATGTGTTCTTATGTTGTTATATTCTTTTCAGATTGGAGGAAAGAAGAGTTCCAGAACGGTGAGTCCATGATGGTCTAGAACGAACCCTGTTTTTTCTATGTAGTCTGACAGACTACAGTTAGGGCCATTGGATCTCTCAAACACTTGAGACACTCTGGACCAGGGCTACTAAAACCCTCCAGGGAGACATGATTCTCCTCTTGTTTTGCAGTGACGGTGACACTGGATGTGGACACTGCCCATCCTGCGCTCTCACTGTCTCAAGAGAGAAGATGTGTAACCTGGCAAGAAGAGGATCAAACCTTGCCTGACATCCCACAGAGATTCAGTTCTCTTCCTTGTGTGCTGGGCGAGCTGCAAATCACCTCTGGGAGATATTTCTGGGAGGTAGACATTACAAACACGGTTTCCTATGATCTGGGGATTTGTAGGGATAATGTAACAAGGAAGGAGAGAGTCACAATGTCCCCACAGAATGGTTTCTGGGGCATTAGGCTTTACAACAAGGAATACTGGGCTCTCACTTCCCCAGAAACTCTTCTTACTCTAAGAGAGCAACCCCTTAGAGTGGGGATTTTCCTGGATTATGATGATGGAGATGTGTCATTCTTCAATATGACTGATGGATCTCATATTTTCTCCTTTCCCCAGCATACATTCCAAGGTATCTTAAGACCTCTTTTCAGGCTTTGGGACTCTGACTCGGGTTCATTGACTATTGTGCACTGAATGAAAACAGAGTGATCCAGGAATTCAGAAGTGTATCCATTTTCACAAAATCATGACTTTGAGTCCTAATGATTACAGTTTTACATAAGCTAAGCATTTTTTTTTATCTTTATTGGTTTCTTGTCATAATGCATCTATGGGACACAGATTTCTGATTGTGCTTTATGTCGATTTTTCTCTTGCTTAAAATTGAATTCTTTCCCTATGACAGCCTTTTTATATCCTTCAAAAGAGGCTGTTTTGTCTGATATAAGGCAATCTTCATGCAAACACATGCTCAAGAAATTCATACATAAACAGGTATAAAAATATATTCATCTAAAGGAACAGTATAATGGAGGCATGTATACCATGAAATGAATATGCATTGCAGGATGCATTTTTACTTGTGAAAATAGGTGGATTGCTGATGAAACTGAGTAGCTTATCTTGACAATAGGATGCTGAACTTTTTATAACTATGCCTGCAATGTCATGATACACTTAGGTATGAGAATGATGTACTTTTGACTGTTTTTGAAAGACTATATTATTGTAATAATCCAGACAGAGGATAAATGGGGAAGATTGAAGACGAAATCCATGAGTCAATAAAAGTGTATCATGAAAAATGAAAATTAAAAATAATTATATTCCTATCTGCTTCTGCTGGATGTGACTAAATCCTGAATAGTTCAGTATGTGCTTAATTGTGCTGTCTGACCTCTGGATTTACCCTTAAAAGGAAATAACTTTTATTTCTTCTTTTATTATTTACTTTTTCTGTTGATTATATATGATGTAATTTATGTAACTTGAATATTTATCAGTGTGTAGTATGATCTAGATAACTGAAAAGATGAAATGTTTAAAATTTTGACAATTAATTGTACCTACTCTGGCCTAACACCAACTTTCTTTTCTACAGGAAATAAACCTTTATATTCTAGCTGATTTGGCTTTTTTTTTGTAAAGTTTATTTAAAAGATGAGAAACCATAGGTATTGAAGTGCAGCTCTGACTCAGTTTATCAGAAAGCCAAGGATCACATAACTCATACACTTTCAGCTGACCGAGAGTGCTAGCAGAAAGCAGACTTCTTGCATGAGACTGTGGCTGCCTTGCTGGCCAAGCATGACTGGGAATGAATAGACCCGTCCTGTGCCTCCTTTCTCATTACTTGCATGTAGCCGAGTGTATCCCCTTGCTCAGTGAATTGGTTTGATTGCTAGAATCCTTTCCTGAAAAACATATTTACTCCTTTGCTACTACAGTGATTGTTATTTCATTTCCTTGTTGGCTATCTTCAGAAGGGCTTTAAGCAGTTGCCTAGGTAACTTGCCTAGTATATCCATACCCTGTTGAGTTCAATAAGGTGTGCATTTCTTCATTAGCCTTGCATCCCCTGTGTCTTGATCTTTCTTGGCTTGGTTGTCACACCTCAGTCCCAGTCTCCTCAGAGGGATCATCCACACAGAAGAATATATTCATGGATAGAGTGGACAGGGAGAGGAAATGTGAGAGAGAGATCTTATACCACCATCTTGTGTCCACAGGGAAAGAAAAGCACCTTTCCCCATTGTCTGGCTTCTTGTAAGCCTGGGAGAGGAGTGGTTACAGGATTCCACCCTCTAATACCAGATGAGGGGTAATACAATCTGGTGAAGCTGTATTTGATTGACAAGCAGTCAGAGCAGTCAGAGTGTTTTACATGGAGTAGGGGAGGTATGTCTTCCAATTCGTGAGTGTTATATTACTAACTGCCAGTACCATTTCATTTTCTCCTGCGATTCCCAACTCTAGTTATTCAGAGTTGCTGACAGTTGTAGTGTTTTTTTTTTTAAAGATTTATTTTATTTTTATTGTGAAGTCAGATATACAGATTGGAGGATCTTCTGTCCTATGATTCATTTCCCAAGTGACCGCAATGGACAGTGCAGTGCTGATCTGAAGCCAGGAGCCAGGAACTTCCTCCAGGTCTCCCACATGGGTGCAGGGTCCCAAGGCTTTGGGCCATCCTTGACTGCTTTGCCAGGCCACAAGCAGGGAGCTGGATGGGAAGTGGAGCTGCTGGGACCAGAACCTGCTTGGGATCCTGGTACAGTCAAGACCAGGTCTTTAGCTGCTAGGCTACCATGCCAGGCCCAGAAGTTGTAGTTTTATCTTCTGTAGCTACTTCCTTTTGACTAGGGCTGTAGGCCTTATGTGTTCTGGATTTGGAAGTCTCTCACTGTTTCATCTAATGGATTGATCTCATGAGCCATAGAAAATGTAGTTGATGCCAAAGCTGTGTACCCTGCACCATCAGTGCCATTCGAAGAAGTCACTGGCCTTTTTCTTTAATTCAAAACAATATCCATGGCCTCAAACAAGTTGACAGGCACAGGTCAATTCATCCTTCAGGTGCACCTGGGCATAAGCCTCCTTTCTGTCTAGGAGTCAATAAAGTTCATTGTACAATATGTACTGTGTGTTCTGAATCCACACTCTGGTCTCTGAGACACAGATTCTGAGGCTTCTTGGAGCAACACTACATGAATGCCTGGGTTTCTTGATAATATAAAAACATCAGTGATTTTTCCCCCTTCATGATCCAATCCCAGCCTCAGGCCCCTGTCATAAAATGATTGTAACTGTTGTCACACAGAAGATGGGACTTGCCCAGGATGTATCAAGTACCTGGTTTTCCCATGGATATCAGTTGTGCCTCACACCCTCCAAAAAGGAACACAGCCTCAAGCTCCTGGTCAAAGTCAGTAATAGGTTTTCCTAGGACTGAGCACAATGATATGCCCACTCCCAGGATAGCACTTTGGAACATCATGTGTGTGCCTGCCTAGGACCCTTGAAATCCCCAGCGTTCTCACTCCTGGATTGGTGCTTTGGTGCACAATGCATTCATCCTGTCTAGGACTCCAGCATTAGGCCCCTGCCCTGTCGGACCAAGGACAGTACAGTGACATTCCAGAGTCAGACCACTACTCTCCACAGAATTGCAGAACTGAGTGTAGCTTCAGTACCTGGTAACTATGGGAGTCTCATGGACAAAGACTGTAGCAATTTTGTGATTCTTTGATAGTGTCAGGTATGTAGCTGTGTATCTTGACACAGAACTGGCCCCAAATTTTTTTATGTTTCATGTGCTGGCATGGGTTAGGATTTTAGCCAATGTGGGACTACCTTGGGCATTGATCATTTTCAAAGAAGCAGGTGAGGTGATGATTCCACTAACCGTGTGATTGTTATCTATCTTACAATGACAAAAGAGGAGGTGCACCATGTCCACCTTAGGAGTCACCCTGAGCTCTCATTCCACACTTGAGCACAGACAACAGAGAACACACCTTGCTCAGTGTGCCCTCGATTTTTGCCTGTTCCCCATTGTGGCGTAAATCCCTGCGGATTGCTACTTAAACAAAAAGGTGGAGTATAGCAGTCCCTGAGATCATTTGAATGTTGTATTATTTATCTTAAATTTTCTAACCTTGGATGCTGAAGAATGGTCAGCTACAGATCATCATTGGAATCTTTCTCGAAAGCAGAAGGGTTAGATGATGTGGAAGAATCCATTGATTGGTCAGTGGCAAGGCCCAGATCCCATCCTCAAATGGGGTGAGGATCAGTTTGTGTTTTCCCAGAAAAAACTAAAATGGCCCACAATGGATTCCTGAGAGGCTTGTCCAGCAAGCTCCTGCTGCTGTGCCTTGTGAAAGCTCGGGAATTGGCCAAGATGATGACATCTGAGTCAGAAGACTGATGGGAGCAGCAAGTATATAGGGCCTTTGTTAAGCGCCCCTCATTTTTGCCTTCTTTCTATGAGCACTGAGGTTCCGATATTTCCTGCCATTTTTTTCCTTAAATCACAATATCACAATGCCAAATGTGCAACCCCAGCTGTTGGGAGCCTTGCCCTCCTTTTAAAAATAGCTAAATTTCTACCCATGCTTTTTCTTATCTGTTCCCTGTTATTATCATGGAGAAAATAGCCACCTTTTCTATGTGGCTGCTTTGTGAGTTATGGACTTGTGCTGGCATGCACCCCCCTTCTATTCAGGGAGGCAATTTTTCCTATGGAAATTATCAGTTCTATCACTCCTCTGGATTTGTGGACTCAGTCACGTGAGTGAATCTTAGCTCCTTGAATTTTTTAGCCTGTCTCTGCCTGTGTTATCCACCCCCCTCAATTTTTCTCTTACATACAGAAAATGACTCTGAATTGAATTACACTGAAGTCAATTGCATCCTAACAGCATGTTGGAATGGCAATGGCGATACTGCTATTATCATGCGGCTGCCCGGAATCCTGCCTGTGCCTATTGGGGCTAACGGAGAGAACTCTGTTGGCCTAATAAGGCATAAAACAGACTTTGGTATAACAGTGACCATTGTAGCCAAAACTGCTGTGGTGTTGGCAGCTGCCACTGCTGCAGCAGTGACCCTAGGACACTCTACAGCTACTGCGGAGACCGTGAACAAGCTCATGGAACAGACAGCCTGAGTTATGGAACAATAAAACTTTATTGATGAGCACGTGTGTGTGGGCATGCTTATGTTGTAACAGCAGGTTGATTTGTTGGCAGAGGAACAGAACATGCTGCGGGGTATGGTCAGGGCTTCTTGTTCCCCATCATATGTCTTTATGTGTATGACACCTGCGCAAGTGCAAAATGTTTCCCAAGTTCATGAATGACAGCCTACTTATTGCTACCACACTAAACATACTCCCATCCATGGAACAGGGCTACCAGCCTCCCCAAGTATGGTTTACATAGTTGTAGCAGACAATGGTTGAATGGTAGCCAGTGATGGGTAAGATGGAGCGGACACTGACCAACCTAAGACGGAGTCTCTGTCATGCTACGGAGATTCCCAATGACAGGTAAGGCTGATGATCTAGGAGTTCACAACCTAAGAATTTTTAGAGCTGGTTTAGTGTTGATGTACTCTTCTAATTTCTCTTTGCTATGGGAGTATTTAATTTTATTCTTGAATACAAATGAGATCTTCGCTGGGCACATTAT